GGGCGCGAGGGTGTGGGTGTCTGGCCCTGCAGCTGGGCCCTGGGGGGATAGGGAGTGCAGGTGTCTGGACCAGGGTGGTGTCCTGGCCCTGGGCGGGGGGGGAGAGGCGGTGCGGGTTTCTGGCTCTGTGGCTGGGCTCTGGGGGTAGGGGGTATGGTGTGTGGGCTGGTGGGTGCCCCCATTGGCCTCTGGTGGGGAGGAGTGCAGATGTCTGGGCTGGGGGAGGGGTGTGGGTGTCTGGCCCTGTGGCTGGGCTCTGGGGAAGAGGGGGCAGAGAAACAGAAACTGGGTTGTCATAGGGGTTTCTTTAACTCTCTTTTTTGTCATTGGTACAGACATAGTTGCTGACAGGTATTTTGAAATAAATTATCAAAATAATTGAAACCGGCATGATTATATAGTGTTATTTTAACAAATAAAATATGCAGAATTTTAAAATATTGTGCTCAGAATTTTTAGGCACAGAATTCCCCCAGGAATAAAAAACAGAGGAATCTACATAGAGCAAAATATGAAGAAAAAAAAAAAAGCCCCGAGAAAATGTCAGGTACCACTGAAACCTGTCTTAAATGACCAATAAAGTTTACTTCTAATAAAATATGCTTTGTTAAGTAGTATTAATTGTAATAAAACCTAAGCAACGTTGTACTTAATCTTTTAAGGGATAATATGAGGCAGGTGGCATACAGAAGGCTGCCTGGACATGGAGGTCTCTTGTTCAGGCTTCACTGTATTTTTTGGTCCAAACTGTTTGACATGTGTTGCAACTGGAGAGAAGCTGTCATCTAATCAGTCTTTTCAGTCTTCCGGTAACGCAATATTGTGGCTGTGACCCATATATTAAGAACCAGCATGATTATGAAACGGACTAGAACTATGAAGGAGAAAAACATTCAATTAATAAAATGTCGTAAGCATGAATGCTAACATTAACTGCTGCCATTTTCACAGGATACAATAACTTGTTCACAAAGTTTTACTACTGTACATTCTGAACAGTTTACCTTCCACAACTCCTTAATGGACTTCCTCAAAATACTGGAAGGAACCCATATGTCAGACATCAAAAATTCTGAAAATAATATCCAGGATCATGTTTTTTTGGGGGCGGGGGGGGGGGGGGGGGAGATGAATTCGGCAGATGTATCCTCACCTGCTGAATAGTGATTTGTTAAGTAATACCCAGAATTATTTAAAAAATAAATACATCTAGATTCCTTAATGTAAATCTGCTTCTTTGAATCACTTTGATATTAAAAAGGAACTTGCTACGTATGGCAAGTTTAATATATCTGGTTTAAATTCACACAATGTATACCTATTTTTTCATCACTTGCATCTAACAGGAGCATATAAACATATGTAATACTCTATTTAAATAACTATTAAGTTCAGGCTTGTGAGGGTTTTTTTTCTAACAGTAAACATTTATTGGTAATTGCCAGAGTTTAACAGGCAAAAATCTGACACAAATTTGAAAGAAACAATGAGATTTGCTCAATATCTTGATTACCTTAAGATTTTTTTTGAAGTAAGGCTACAAAATCTATTTGAAAAATCAAAGAAGCAGTTTCTCTGTTCACCTGACACTGCACATGTGTATTTATCCCATTTGTTCCATTTTAGGAAGTAAACAATATACTGAAATATACAAAAAAAAACGCTTTTCTAAGAGCTGGTGATTTTATAAATACACTATACCACATACCACCAGATATAGAGTAACCAAGAACAATGAGGGAAAATCCAGTGCGAGCTCTCAACCCTCAAACAGTTGACAGGCCACATTTTTGTTTAAAGTCCAAATGTCACTGCTCCCATCTGTTTTTCATTGTGCTACATTTTGGTGCAGTTTATGGGTACTTTTAAAATTCCTTTTAAAATTCACTCTGGGTAATACGATGGAGCAGTTTTCTTTAGCTCATTCTGGTAAAACATGGAAAATACTGACTTAATCATTTCCATTGTCTAAAATTGCTTTCTACCATGTGAAAATTTAGTCATTTTCCACTAAAAATGACATTTTGGATTGTGCTACTTTGAGCAGTTGAAATGCCAACAACAGGCAGGGTCACTTTCTTAAATGCACTGTTTTTTTGTTTCCCACCCCCTCCCCCTATGGTAGAAGGCTGATTTTAAACATCCCTTAGTTTTATAATGAATTTATTCTATCTAACGTGCCCATCCCATGGTATCAGAATTCCATGTGTTGTCAGACAATCTCTTACTTGACTGCACTGGTTGGTGACAGCATGAGAGAAATCTACATTACTTTCAGCCAAATGTAAGTTTCATTCTTCTTCGAGTGCTTGCTCATATCCATTCCAGTTAGGTGTGTGCGCGCCGCGTGCACGATCGTCGGAAGATTTTTACCCTAGCAACACCCGGTGGGTCGGCTGTGGAGCCCCCTAGAGTGGCGCCGTTATGGCGCTGGATATATACCCCAGCCGACCCAGCGCCCCCTCAGTTCCTTCTTACCGCCCCTGACGGTCGTTGGAACTGTGGAGCGCGGCTTAGCTGATCTCCACACTCCCTAGCTTCTCATTGCTCTTGTTGTATTTAGTTATATAGATAGTTGTTCAAGTAGTTAGTAGTTAGTTATAGTGTATATATATATATAGTTATAAGTTGTTATCGGGGGTTTAGGGGGTGTTTTCCCCCTTTTTCCCCCCGGCGCGCAGCCGGGCCCATGCCCAAGGCTCCTGGCTTTAAGCCGTGCGCGTCCTGCGGGAAGCACATGCCAACTAGCGACCCGCATAGCTCCTGCTTGAAGTGCCTGGGAGAGACTCATCCAGCAGATAAGTGCCCTATCTGCAAGGCCTTCAAGCCAAGGACAAGGAAGGAGCGGGACTTTAGGCTCCGACAGCTCCTTATGGAGGCGGCTCTGAGTCCAGATCCTCCCTCGGCGCGCCCTGTCCCGGCACCGAGCGCTTCGGTGCGCAGCGCCCCGGCGGGCTCGACCGGTGCGGCAGAAAAGACTGTTCGGCACCGACCGACGTCGGCACCGCGCCCGCCCAAAGAGCCTCGGCACCGATCCATCTCTCCGGGCCATAAGAAGACCGCTAAGACACGGGACGTTGTTGCCGCGAAGGTACCGGCTCCCCCGGTGCCGGGGGTAGAGCCGCGTCCGCAGCTGGACCGCCAAAGACAGGCGGCCACACCGTCGACTCCGGCACCGAGGCCGTTGAGTCCGGTGCGGACTGTTTCACCACCAAGGCTGGTGGTGGAACCTTGTCTCCCTTCCACCCCGGAGACCTTTGCTACGGCGAGAGACCTGAGCGCCCTCACGGAGCCGGCGCCGTCGCAACTCCCGGCACCGGTGGCTCCACGCGTGCTGCAGTCCAGAGGCAAGCCTGCCCTGGTGCGCCCACCGTCGCCAGCACGAGTCTCTCGGCACCGCTCCAGATCCCGAAGCAGGTCCCGACGCCGCTCGGAGTCCCGGCGCCGAGGGTCACCTCGGCACCGGTCGTACTCGCGGCCCAGATCTTCCTCGCGGCGCCGTCCTCGGGTTCGGCACCGCCGTGGCCGTCGAGATCGGCGTCCCGGTCATCTGAGACGGGGGAGCCCGGCCACCTGCAGGAGACCGAGGACCCGATGCAAGGGCCTGCGCATTGGTCCTTTTGGACTCCTTGGGCCTACCACCAAGCTCAGGGAGCTCCCCTGTCGGCTTCCCGCTCTGGCCGTTCGGACACCAGGGCCCCGGAGTCTACCATCTCCCGCCCTCCTCCAAGGGACGTGGAGGCTCCAGTGCCCGCACCTGCGGAGGCCCCTGACCAGGGGGCAGGGGATGCCCAACACCAGGAACACCTGGAGCAGGACCAACCATTGGACCCCTTGCCACCGGGGGCATCTTCCTCGTCCTCTCCTGATGAGGCCGTAGCGGGCACGTCGTCCATCGGGCCGCCCCCGATAGACCTTCGGGCCCATCAGGACCTACTGCGGCGCATGGCTCGCAATCTGGACCTCCAGGTGGAGGAGGTTGCGGAGGTCCATGACCCGATAGTGCAGATCATCTCAGCGGATGCTCCATCCAGGGTGGCATTACCGCTGGTCCGCACCATCCAGGCCAACGCCACTACTATCTGGCAGACCCCGGCCTCTATTCCGCCCACGGCCAGAGGGGTTGAGAGAAAATACTTTGTCCCATCCAGGGAACACGAGTATCTGTACATTCACCCCCAACCGTGCTCACTGGTGGTTTCCTCAGTGAATGCACGGGAGCGCCATGGCCAGCAGGCCGCTGCGCCCAAATCGAAGGACGCTAAGCGCTTCGATTTGTTTGGACGCAAGGTGTATTCGGCTGGCGGACTGCAATTGCGGGCAGCGAACCAGCAGGCACTACTGAGCCGCTACGGCTTCAATATGTGGTCCTCGATGGGGAAATTTAAAGAACTGGTTCCCCAGGACTCGAGGGACGAGTTTGGGGCCCTGGTAGAGGAGGGCAAGCGGGTGGCATGCACCTCCCTACAGGCGTCCCTTGATATAGCGGACTCGGCCGCTAGGACCCTGGCGTCGGGGATAGCAATGCGCCGAATCTCCTGGCTCCAGGTGTCGGGCTTGCCTCCGGAACTGCGGCAGACCCTGCAGGACCTACCGTTCGAGGGACAGGGCCTCTTTTCAGAGAAAACAGACTCGAGGCTCCAAAACCTTAAGGACTCTCGAACAATGATGCGCTCCCTGGGGATGCATGTCCCAGGGCCTCAGCGCAGGCCCTTCAGGCCACAGCCTCAGCGGTTCTACCCTCCCCCGCCTCGTCCAAGACAGGACTTTGCTAGGAGGCGGGGTCGAGGTGGTAGGCGAAGGTCGACCGGCCCTCAACCCGGTCAGAACCAGGGCCAACCTAGGCCACCTTCGGGGCCTAGGCAAGCCTTTTGAAGGTGCGGTCGAGGACGGCACCTTAGCCACTTTCCAGGATTCGGTTCCCCCCTTCCGGGATCGCCTCTCCCGTTTCCACCGTGCTTGGTCCCGTATAACCTCGGACCGTTGGGTCCTTCGCACGGTGGAGAGGGGATACGCCCTCCAGTTTTCCTCGCCCCCCCCATCCCACTCCCCCTCCCCGTCCCTCTTCAGGGACCCTTCTCACGAGCAACTCCTTACACAGGAGGTTTTTGGGCTTCTCGCTATGGGGGCCATAGAGGAGGTTCCTTCGGAGCTAAGGGGCAGGGGGTTTTACTCCCGCTACTTCCTGATACCCAAGTCAAAAGGGGGTCTACGGCCCATCTTAGACTTACGCGGACTCAACAAATTCATAGTAAAGTTGAAGTTCCGCATGGTGTCATTGGGGACCATTATCCCTTCACTGGATCCTGGAGACTGGTTCGCCGCCCTCGACATGAAGGACGCTTACTTTCACATAGCAATTTATCCGCCCCACAGACGTTTCCTGCGATTCGTGGTAAACAGGGTACACTACCAGTTCGCAGTCCTTCCCTTCGGCTTGTCCTCGGCTCCCAGGGTCTTCACAAAGTGCCTGGCAGTCGTCGCGGCCTTCCTTCGTCGACAAGGGATACAGCTGTTCCCGTACTTGGACGACTGGCTGGTACGCGGCCGCACCAGAGACCAAGTGCAAGCCCATGTCCACATAGTGACACGCACTTTCCACGCTAGTGCCAACTCAAAGAATAGAGTTCATTGGAGCAATCCTGGACTCCAGACGTGCCCGAGCCATCCTGCCAGACAGCCGCTTTCATACCATCTCAAGCGTCATTCAAGGACTCAGGGCCTTTCCAACTGCCACCATAAGGACGTGCCTTGCCCTCTTGGGCCACATGGCCTCGTGCACCTACGTAACCAGGCACGCCAGGCTGCGACTTCGCCCATTGCAGACTTGGGTGTCATCGGTTTACCGTCCTCATCGAGACGACCTGAGCATGGTGGTCACGGTTCCGACCGCAGTCTTGGCCTCCCTCACATGGTGGACGGATCGCACGGCGGTCTGTGCAGGAGTACCCTTTCACGCCCCACAGCCCTCCCTCCACCTAGTTACGGACGCTTCATCTCTAGGATGGGGCGCTCACCTGGGGGAGCATCATACCCAAGGCCTGTGGTCGGCGTCCCAACTAGCCCTGCACATCAACGTCCGAGAGCTGATGGCAGTGCGCCTGGCTTGTCAGGCTTTCCTCAACTTCCTACAGGGCCGTTGCGTGCTGATTCTCACCGACAACACCACGGCCATGTTTTACATCAACAAGCAAGGCGGAGCCCGCTCATCTCCCCTATGCCAAGAGGCCATTCGCCTGTGGGACTTTTGCATCGCCCACTCGATACATCTCACGGCGTCATTCCTGCCTGGAGTCCAGAATACGCTGGCGGACCGTCTCAGCAGGTCCTTCCAAACGCACGAGTGGTCGATTCGCCCGGACATCATCTATTCTGTCTTCCAGAGGTGGGGGTTTCCCCAGATCGACCTGTTCGCATCTCGGGCCAACAGGAAGTGCCAGGCATTCTGCTCCCTACACGGGCGAGCCCCGGGCTCTCGGTCGGACGCCTTCCTCATGGCATGGAAAGACCATCTGTTCTACGCCTTTCCCCCATTCCCGCTGGTCCACAGGGTGCTGCTCAAGATCCGCAGGGACCATTCACGGGTAATTCTAGTCGCTCCTGCTTGGCCGAGACAGCACTGGTACACCACACTTCTAGAGCTGTCAGTACAGAGGCCGATCACGCTCCCCTTGAGTCCGGATCTCATCTCTCAGGACCACGGCCGGCTGTGTCACCCCGACCTGCAGTCGCTCCACCTCACGGCGTGGATGCTTCATGGTTGAGTCGCTCAGAGCGGCAATGCTCGCAGGCCGTCCAGCAGGTCCTGCTGGGAAGTAGAAAGCCCTCTACGCGGACCACTTATTTAGCCAAGTGGAAGAGGTTCTCCTGCTGGTGTGAGCAACGAGCTACGTCTCCCTCGCAGGCTCCTATCCCCTTGATACTGGAGTACCTCCTGTCCCTAAGACAGCAAGGCTTGGCGACATCCTCAATTAGGGTTCACCTCGCCGCTATTTCCGCTTTCCACCCAGGAGAACTCACGTCCTCGGTCTTCTCTAACCCGATGGTCGTTAGATTCCTCAAGGGCTTAGACCGGCTATACCCACAGCAACGACAGCCGGTCCCAACGTGGGACCTCAACCTCGTACTCTCTAGGCTCACAGGGCCTCCGTTTGAACCATTGGCTACCTGCTCGCTCCTGTACTTATCTTGGAAGACAGCCTTCCTGGTAGCCATCACCTCAGCACGGCGCGTCTCGGAACTCAGGGCGCTGACATCCGAGCCCCCATACACGGTGTTCCATAAGGACAAGGTGCAGCTTCGCCCCCATCCTGCCTTTCTTCCAAAGGTGGTGTCACCTTTCCACGTGAACCAGGATATATTCCTCCCGGTCTTCCATCCGAAACCGCACGCTACTCGTCAGGACCAGCGTTTACATTCTTTGGACGTTCGCAGGGCCCTGGCTTTCTATATTGACCGTACAAAGTCGTTTAGGAAGACGACGCAACTCTTCGTTGCGGTAGCCGACCGGATGAAGGGCTCACCGGTCTCTTCACAGTGCCTGTCCTCCTGGATCACGTCCTGTATTCGTGCTTGTTACGACCTGGCCGGTGTTCCGACGCCACGCATCACCGCTCATTCCACGAGGGCCCAGGCCTCCTCGACTGCCTTCCTGGCTCAAGTACCGATCCAGGACATTTGTAGAGCTGCAGTGTGGTCATCGGTCCACACATTTGCTACTCACTATGCGCTGGTGCAACAATCCAGAGACGACGCTGCTTTCGGGTCAGCGGTTCTGCACACAGCAATGTCTCACTCCGACCCCGCCACCTAGGTGGGGCTTGGGAGTCACCTAACTGGAATGGATATGAGCAAGCACTCGAAGAAGAAAAGACGGTTACTCACCGTTGTAACTGTTGTTCTTCGAGATGTGTTGCTCATATCCATTCCAAACCCGCCCCCCTTCCCCACTGTCGGAGTAGCCGGCAAGAAGGAACTGAGGGGGCGCTGGGTCGGCTGGGGTATATATCCAGCGCCATAACGGCGCCACTCTAGGGGGCTCCACAGCCGACCCACCGGGTGTTGCTAGGGTAAAAATCTTCCGACGATCGTGCACGCGGCGCGCACACACCTAACTGGAATGGATATGAGCAACACATCTCGAAGAACAACAGTTACAACGGTGAGTAACCGTCTTTTATTCATGTACTTCCTTCAAATTTTAAACTAGTACAAATAATTTAAATAGTTTCACAGTTCTTGAATAGTTTTTTTTTTTTTAAAATACACAAGTCTACCAGTGAGAGAGAAGGTGCTGTTTTTGATATCTTATCCATTTGGGAAAAGTCACTACTCAATTACCATGTGTTCCAACAGAAAGAGGGATTTTTGTTTTTCCTTTACGCAGGCATTTCCATAATTAAGCAAATTTTTTAATCTATTTTTTCTCTAAGAATAGAAGCTGCCTTTTAAACTGCCAACATTCCCTATGATGAACACAAATAGATTTTTCCTCACATCGTCTTCCCCATAGGTGTTAAACTCCTAGCCATAATAATAGCCCAGTGGTGTTTTCTCAGCAGTAATCCAGTTCCCTTGCTGGAATAAACCACTCAGCTACATAGTTTATTCTACTGAGAACCGGATAACTGCTCACAAAACAGGACAGGCTGCTGTTATCTTTAGATAGCGAGGCAGTGAAGAAATGAAGACAATTTCATATATTACTCACCCATAAGATCATTTGTGGTCATTATAGTTGTAATTATTCTTGCTGTAAATTAAAGGAATTGTGGTTAGTATGTCATAGAATCATAGAATCTCAGGGTTGGAAGGGACCTCAGGAGTTCATCTAGTCCAACCCCCTGCTCAAAGCAGGACCAATTCCCAACTAAATCATCCCAGCCAGGGCTTTGTCAAGCCGGGCCTTAAAAACCTCCAAGGAAGGAGATTTTACCACCTCCCTAGGTAATGCATTCCAGTGCTTCACCACCTTCCTAGTGAAACAGTGTTTCCTAATATCCAACCTAGACATCCCCCACTGCAACTTGAGACCATTGCTCCTTGTTCTGTCATCTGCCACCACTGAGAACAGCCGAGCTCCATCCTCTTTGGAACCCCCCTTCAGGTAGTTGAAAGCAGCTATCAAATCCCCCCTCATTCTTCTCTTCTGGAGACTAAACAATCCCAGTTCCCTCAGCCTCTCCTCATAAGTCATATGCTCCAGACCCCTAATCATTTTTGTTGCCCTCCGCTGGACTCTTTCCAGTTTTTCCACATCCTTCTTGTAGTGTGGGGCCCAAAACTGGACACAGTACTCCAGATGAGGCCTCACCAATGTTGAATAAAGGGGAACGATCACGTTCCTCGATCTGCTGGCAATGCCCCTACTTATACAGCCCAAAATGCCGTTAGCCTTCTTGGCAACAAGAGCACACTGTTGACTCATATCCAGCTTCTCGTCCACTGTGACCCCAAGGTCCTTTTCTGCAGAACTGCTACCTAGCCATTCGGTCCCTAGTCTGTGGCAGTGCATAGGATTCTTCCGTCCTAAGTGCAGGACTCTGCACTTGTCCTTGTTGAACCTCATCAGGTTTTTTTTGGCCCAATCCTCTAATTTGTCTAGGTCCCTCTGTATCCGATCCCTACCCTCCAGCGTATCTACCATGCCTCCCAGTTTAGTGTCATCTGCAAACTTGCTGAGAGTGCAGTCCACACCATCCTCCAGATCAGTAATAAAGATATTAAACAAAACCGGCCCCAGGACCGACCCTTGGGGCACTCCGCTTGAAACCGGCTGCCAACTAGACATATCAGGGAAGATCTGCTGATGCATCCAACTACTAAAAACAATGAAATCTCTGCTTTGCAGTTAAGAGAAAAATCAAGCAAAAAAACCCATACAAATATCCACATCTTAAATGTACCCCCCACTTACTAGAGCCTCAAAAATGAAGCCCCAACCCTGAGCTCGCTTTTTCTTTTTTCTTTTCTTTTTTTTTCTTTTTAAGAGTTCATTTGAAAGTAACAAAACAAAATGCTGATATAGTTGGAACTTTTCTAAATTTTCAAATGGAAAAATGTTACCACCCGGTAAGCCGTGGCAAAAGCTCATTGCTTCTCTTACTTCTTATTTACCATTTTCTTCTCTCTTTTGGTGGCTGATCTCAGTCTGTCAGCTGGCTATGTAGTTTCTGTATCAAATTGCCAGTTAAAAACTAGAGCAAAATTTCACCAGTTTACTGTATTGGAGAATTTATATATGCCCATATATCTCTGTCCATGTCTCACTTATGCTATACACAAGAATAATTCCCTCCACTGCAGGAATTTCTGAGTGAAATTCCATGGACTCATATAATGCTTGAGGTCAGACTAGATGATCATAATGGTCCCTTCTGGCCTTAATCTCTGGATCAATATCATGTCTCACAATGGGAGTGATCTGACACTATCTCTATTAGAAAATATTTTAGTAAGTTAAAAACAAATTGAGTAAAGATCAGAAGCTATAGCAGTAATTTTCTAAAAGAGTTAAATACAAGACATAATTGCAAAAGACAATTCTAATTAACAGTTGTAGCAGGCCCTTTTGTATGAACTGCTACCAGGAGTTGCCTAGGATAACTAACCTACACACCAGAACCCTCTACAAGTTATTGCCTGGATTTAGGAACATGCTTAAATTCATTCCTGTTCATGACATGACTTAATGTTTAGCAAATGTTTCTAAATGTTTTCCTGAATTAGTGCTATGTCTTTAAGATTATTGCTGGAAAATGGCTTGAGATCCTTTCATTTGATCCTTTAAGAAAAAAGAACCTTTTTTTCTAATGAAATACAGAATTATATATAAATCATTTATTTAAATGAAGAAAAAAGTATGATTTTTGGCTCCATATTATGTTTGATCAGTGATGTTCCAATCCAGTCAATTATCTGGTATAATAGTAATTAACTAATGGAAAGTACTAGGATGTTATGTGAGGACAAAATAAGACGACAATTGCAATGCACATCAGCTACAAATGTTATTTTTCTAGCCTGGATTTTCATTATTTTTAAGGACTGAGACCTTTTCTGCATAAAAGTAACATAGAGATGAAATCATGCATAAAAGAACCTATTCTCTTAAAGAAAGATAATATTCAAATATGGTCAAACAATTACTTTTAGACAATACACCGGACCCTCGCTAGAACGCGGGATTTGGGATCCATGCACAGTACCACATTAACGCGGGGACCGCATTAAAATGAATTGCAATTAAAGTAATTAAATTTGGGATCCATGGCCGTGACCACATTATATGCGAATTCGTGCTATATAGACGCGCGTTCTAGCGAGGATCCGGTCTAATATAGAAAGCTACCCTGGGGAAGATTCAGATTTACTATGGGTTTGACAAGGTCTCTCACTGCAGATACAGATACATTAGGAACAGTAATGGCTTTGTGGCGGTCACTTTGTTATACAAAACCCAATGCATGTTGCTTACTTGCACATGTGTATGCAGACATACTCCAGGTCAGGGCACTCACTTGTCCGGAATCTCTTGTCTGCCACAGACACCGCAGCTGAGCAAATTTACTTGCTGCACTGATTAACGTACACAAATTCTGCAGAAAAGAATACAAAAAAAAAAAAAGAGGACAGCTGTTTCTAGTTCCATCTAATAAGAAAGTATTTAGCTTAGGCCTAAAATGTATACTTTGCCTTTTTTTTTTTTAAAGTAGAAATACTTTTGACATTTAAAAAAATTCCTTCGTTGGTTGCATACCAAACATTACAGAATCTTACTAAGAAACTATGAAACAAAGTGAAACTGACCAGAAACCAATTGGTCTAGTTTTGTGGTACAGGCTCTAAGAGAAATATAAAACGTGAACTGTAACAATTACTGCATTTGGTGACTGCAACTTAAAAACAAAAGTTACTTTTAAACTAAGTGTGTTCCATGCGGTAGTGGAATGTTCTCAAACTATTAATAGAGATGAGAGACAAAGCAGTACTTGGAAACTGCTCATTAACAGCTCAGAAGAGCTCATTTTCAAAACACGTTCTAGAATAAATTATAAAATACAGTGGAACCCTGTTTACCTGATCTAATTGGGACCGGGGCCAGATCGGATAATCAAAAATTCAGATAATCAGGAGAATGGGCAAAGAGCTTTCTATCCATTATTTTAAGATGCAGAGTTGCTTTTAA